TTCCTTAGAACCAGTCTACATTATAGTTCCCCATTGGTTCCCCAAAATATCTTTTACAGCTGGTCTCTCCAAACCAGGATCTCATTCAGGACCACATCTTATAACTAACTGCTTGTTAAATCTCTCAATCTTAAATAGTTATTTATGGCACTGCTCTATTGAAGAGTCTTAGACAATTGTCCCACTTTTGTATCTGTCCTACTTCTTCCTTTGGTGTCCTCCATTTATTTCTCCCTCTTCTATAATTCCTATAAACTGTACATTAGATTTAAAGCCATACTTTAAATCTTTATTAAGTGATCAATAAAGTGACAGTCTGTGCCTTCTATTATAAGATTAAATTGATCCCTGGTGTGATATTATTTTGAGACTATAAGAATATTCAGCTCCCTGCTATTATCTAAAGGTTTAAATACTACTTGATAATTCATGCCTGAATCAGTAATTTTATTAGAGATTGCAAAATGATCGTTTTCTAATTCTGTTGTTCCTTTTATGTTTGTTAGAATGGTATTCTTTTGTAGAGCTTTCCCCTCTCGAATTAGGCTGTTTGGTTACACAACCATTATCTTTGTTTCTAAAAGGAAGAAACTGATGTTTAAAAGGTTAAATAATCTATTAAAGGTATATCATTGAAAATAAATAACAGAGCTGGGACTTGAATCCAGACCTCTGTGATTTTGGAATCTGTGAATGGTTTTGAAATACTATGTAAGATTGAATTTTTTAAAAAATCAGTGTGCAACTCTTTTTGCCTATGTACTATAACCTTGGATAAATTGGCCTTTACTGTGCCAAAACAGTAATTAAGCAGGCTTCCTTTCATAACTGCTTTTAGATCCAAAACATTCTTTTCTTTCCCAAATTAATGTGTAGACTACCAGCCATATTTTTCCATCAAGTCTCTAATTTTTTCATCTGAAGAAATAAGATATTTCTGGTACCAAAGAAAAAAAATGCAGATTCTTTGTAAGTTAGCTATTTTGTTATCACCCTCCCAATTTACCTGCCCGCCTTCCTAATGACAAGTCTTTCACTCAAAAGAAGTCTGATTTTAGAATTTTATATGTGTTGACTTTCATGGGAGCTAAATTGGATTGGTGTATGAGACACGTGGGGAAGGTAGAACTTTAGTACCTAAGAAGGGATAATGGAATATAATGCTGAAAGGATATTTTTAAATGTTCTTATTCCATAATAACCATATTCATATTTATGTTCAGATATTGCTATAGTCAAGGTTATCTAAGACCTGCTTAATTATAAGCAGGATTTGGGGTTTGGTGGATATTGTTAAAGTATCTGGAGTGAGGGTGGAAAAGTATAAATAACCCTGCCTAGTCACTCTTCACATTACAGTTTAGTGAAAGGCACATCTTAGGAATTTGTTTTGTTTGTTTCACCCATCCCTTAATGGAATATCTGTGAGCCTCAGAGGGTAGAATCTAAAGGCAGTTTAGGGCTGCATGGGCTACTACTCCATCCAGCAGTCCTATTAGATATGGCCTTACTTCTATCATTAGGAATCTTTCCTGAACTCAGGAAAGCTTTCTTTCATCAGAGTACTCAATGGAGACTTTGAACAGGGTCTGAAATTTAAAGAAAAAAACTCTATAAAGTAATATTATTGAAGTATAGTTATCTTAGAATATAGGAAGTTCAAGACTGAGTAATGAAGTCTATACTTAGATGAGATTATGAATTATTCTATCTTCTGCATTCTGAGCAGGAATAGCGAGACACAAGTAGGCTTGGCTCATCTCACTGAAAGTTCAGCTATATATAGAAGCCCTGGTTTCCTAGTCTTGTTCTGGAGCAGAAATTTGTTCTCTGTAAGATTTAACAAACTGGGCTGGGGTGGTGGCTTTGTAATAGAGCACTTCCCTTGCATGTGTGAGGCACTGGATTTAATTCTGAGCACCACATATGAATAAATGAATAAAATAAAGGTCCATCATCAACAACAATGAAAGATTTAACAAACTAATAAAACCTTGAATAAAATCTTCTCTTTGTTCAATAAAAAGTATATGAGAGGTGGGTATGTAGATCAGCAGTATAGCGCTTGGGGGCCCAAGAGGGAACCAGCTGCAGTAAATTATGTGTAAAAGCACCAAAGTATATTCAGGGAAAAGTGTAGAGTTTAATATGGCCAGTGCATTTGAGAGTTCTAGGATGAAATTAAGTAGGTTGGAATAAGGTTGTAAAAACCTTGTATACTATGCTAAGGAGTGTGGAATTCCCCTTGAAACATAAGGAAACCAAAGGTAGATTTTAAGTAAGGATGCAATGTGATTACATTTGTGTAGAGAGGTGATTCTGTGTGCAGGACAGTGAATACAATGAGATTGGAATTTATTTTAAAGACTTTCTAATAGTCCAGGAGGAATCAAGGACAAGGGACTGGAGTTGGAAACATTTCTGATCTATGCTTTAGATGATGGTAGAATGAAAGCTGAAACAAAGAAGACATTCTGCAGATCTTTAGGAGGTTTTTAGCTTTATTTACTACTCTGCTATATAAGGCCTTTCTTTTTCTTTTCTCTCTAACTATAGTCTGACTTTAATCCATGGGCCAAATGTAGCCCATTACCTGTTTGTAATTTTTTTAAGTTTTATTGGAACCATTTGTGTATTCTTTATGCTGATTTTACTTCATAGTGACAGAGTTGAGCAGTTTCAATGGAAATTATGTCTGAAATATGACTCTTGACATTTACAGTAAACATTTACAGAAAACATGTCTGAAATATGACTCTTGACATTTACTGCTAGAGCCCAAGATCTGCTCCAGATTATATACCATTGTACTAGAGACCCATCTCCTTCATAGTCCCACTTTAAGAATGTTTTTGGTGGTCGATTTATTGATTTAACTGAAAGAATGGTAGAAAGCTTTGGGAATTAGATCAATAGGACTTTAGTTTCTGGCTGTTGAATCAAATGGCTAGATGGATGGAATATTGGTTTCCCTTGTTTTAATTTCCATTTATTCAGAATCTGTGCCAAATAAGCTGTCATAGGCTATATTGGATGAGAAATTGTGGGTATGTGCGTGCGTGCGTGTGCGTGTGTGTGTGTGTGTGTGTGTGTATCCTCAGTTTTAAAACCTTTCTTTCCTCCAGGTTATCCTACCTACAAAGAAAAAGTAAAGAAAAGACCTGGGGGCCGCCCAGAAGTTATTTACAACTATGTCCAAAGACCCTTTATCCGAATGTCATGGGAGAAGGAAGAAGGAAAGAGCCGACATGTAGACTTTCAGTGTGTAAAGAGTAAATCTATCACCAACTTGGCAGCAGCTGCCGCAGACATTCCCCAGGACCAGCTGGTTGTCATGCACCCAACTCCGCAAGTGGATGAGTTGGATATCCTTCCCATTCACCCTGCTTCTGGCAACAATGACCTCGATCCTGATGCACAGAATCCAATGCTGTGATGCTGATATTCCTTGAAACCATAGCATGCTACTCTTCACAGTGACGTTGTACTCTCCTCATTCTGCACTGCAAGGCTACTCTTCATTGTGAGATGCACATAACGTTTTAGGACATTGCAGTGTAGGCTTTTTTAAAGACCAAAGGTAGCTGAATGGTTTTTTAAATGAGTACAACTCTAGCATCCTGAGGTTCCAGTTATATAAATGTATTTGTTTACCAGTAGGTTTGTGAAATTGGTTCTTTGTATGGGGGACAGTCCTTTTTCACACATCTAGATCTTTTCAGAAGTGGTGGAAATTGGCAGCTGGGGTACTTTCAGTCTAGATTGATGTTCATCACACCCCAGATAAAATGCAGAATATTATATGGTTGCACTTTATAAATGGTGGTTAAATGGAACTGTTCAAGCCATTTTATAGTTACGATGCACAGTGTAACGTAAATAAATGCTTCTGTCAGAGTATTCCTTCAGTAAAATGTGTATAGTTTGTTGCCCTGGATGAGCTAAAAAGTATTTGTCTTGGGCTTATTTGAATGATTAGGATGAGATTCAATGCTCATATCTTATCAGTTCACTTACCTCCAGTGCCATTTCACCTGTTTAGAGTGAGTCACATGCAGGGAGTGTGAACATCAGAGGTGGTTTATTATCCGGTCTGCCTTACCCTTAATCTGTTCACAGATATTTATTTACTAATGCTTTCTTTTCTTAAGAGTTATGGGATAGGAAAATGAAGTGTTTGCTCTTCATTTACTAAATGATTGTAAACTCAAGTTTTTCATCAAAATAAAATTCCATTGTTTTAATGTTTCTGACCAAATTTATAAACACCTTGACCAGATTTTTAGTCTCATAATTCATGTTTGTCTGTCTTATTGCTGTAAGTACAACTAGAAATCAAATAGTAGCACAAGGAATTCAATTTGGTATATGTGTGATGAGGTACTTAAATTTCCTACTAATTATAAAATATACTATAAATCTTTTCAGAACTAAAGAGAGCATTTTCTCATCCAACCTGGTATGAAAGGTGGATGACTTAGTAAGGTGTGTGGTAACTGGATTTCAGAGCCAGTTTCTGATACTAGTTAAATGCTTTTTCCTTTATGCTGTGCTGCTCTGTTTAGCAAATTATTCATGCAAATGCTCTTTTAAGTATTTGGTGGTCTAATTCAAGAAGGAATCAGAACTATTTAGGTGGTTTGGTTCTGGAATCACTTAAATGTTTGAAGCCATATTACTGCAAGTAGGGGCAGCAGTGGAGAAGCCAGTTTGTTTACATGTGATCCTGAAATTCAGACAGAGGATTTGATATGTGTGTAAGCAGTAACACTTTTGTTCTCACTAAATAGAAATGGCCACAGTTTGGAAATTATTTTCATAATACATCTAAGCTAGTAGCAAGGGGGAATTGTGTAAGTCCCAGAGTTGTTATGAAGATCAGAAAGGCATTGCAAATGTTACTGGCATGGATAGTTTTTAAATATCCACTATTGGAATTAATGATACAGACCTGCAGCATGTAGGAATTTTTTTTCTTAATATTTGAAGTGGGAACAGTATTTATAGAACAAGGGAAACATTTATTAAAAATATTTAACTGTCTAATACATTATACTTTAACCCATATTTATAGTAAAGGATTCTTACAAGGAAGAATAAACAGCTTTATGATACAATTAGTATAAGAAATATCCACATGGGGGACTTCTTTGTAGTGTAAAAACACCATACATCTGAAATGACCATTTGCATATAAAAGCTACCAATGATGCTTCTGTGCACAATGATTAAAAAATTCAACACAAACAGAATCCAAAATATACAATTAATGCAAGCTATCCACAGCTAGCCCAATAATCAATGATGAGGAAACACTGGAGCAGGCTTAGTTCCACTTTGTCTGAAGTTACACATAGTAAGATTGACTTGTATCAATGGCTCTGAGATGGCTTTTATGAGATCAGTACATAAAAGCTGTTCTCTCCCTATCCAGTAAGCTTCACAGACTGTAAAACTCCACCAGTAATGCACTTTGATACTGTAGCTGTTGCCAAAGCAACACGTAGTGTTTACAGCGGCCATGGCAAGTCGCTAAAGTCAACAGGGCCACCCAGCCCAGCATCTGCTTCCAACAGGCTCATGATGACAGCCATTGCTGCTTCATCATTACTGGGACTACTTGATCCTTGGTCGTTGTCTATCATGTCTATGCCTATGTGGGGGTTTTCACCTGTGGAGATAAAGACTAGTCAGTGACTTTATAAATTCCAAAGTGTTTTTAGACTTAGTAAGCAATTTCTAAGCAACATTTAATTAGAAAATTATATTTAAAAGTAAGGTGAGAGAGGCTGCTTTGGGGCTCTATTGCCATAAGCATATATACATTCATACATTTATTCAACTTTGCTGTTTATCAGAGGAAAGGACCAACTTTTTTAGAAATGAGAGCAAAGTGCTTAAAATTACATAAATGATGTTTGCGTTCACCTCATTTTAATATTCTGATAACTATTTAAGGGGAGAAGGGAAAGTTACAGACTGAATAGCAAATAGGAAAGGAGAACGTAGAAAAAGAGATATCAAGAAGAGGATGCAATGGGAGAAATAATTGTTATCACTTAATGACTTATCACCCTGGTTCTTATTGATCACTCTTTAAGGCTTTACCTCTGAACCTCTTCCTCTGAAGATTGTGCCCCACATATGAGAAAAAAAATATGTCTAGGCTGTTGCAGACATATATAGATCCCCACCAAAATATAATCATTAAAGTCCACTTTGAACTATTTTAAACAAATTTTAAATATTTATTTTGTTCCTGTCCAATGTATCTAGAACTAGCTTGTCTTGTACAATCAGTTCTTAAAACATTATGTCAGGTGTATTGCAAGCTCATTGCAATAGAAATGAATAATAATGCCACTTACCAAGAATAGAAGAACTATCAGAATATGGATAACCTGGGTTCTCTTGAGCCTGCCCTGGCAGTAGGCCACTGGAAGGAATGTCTGGAGTCCCTCCGTTTAAAATCTACAAACATAAGGGTGGGGGGGGGGGGACAGGGTGAGATTTTCCAATCTCAAGTTTATCTTAAATTTATTTAATAATCTTAAAATTTCAGTAAGTATCATGTGTTGATATCATTAAGAAAATGAAACGTGTTGGAAAGATGAAGGCAGGTGAGGGGAGAGAGCTTCCAATTGGTTCAGTTTCCTGCTGGAAACTGATTTCAAACAAGGAACTATGAGGAATAGTCCTAGTGAGAAAAAAGCTCTACCTCACAGTATTCTTTGATCTGCATTTGATTCAGCTCCCACAGGTGACTTAAGCTGAACAAAATCCCAACTATCAAGGATCATGCTATCCACAATACTACTTTAAGGCCAAGGCCTAAACATCAGTGAGCCCAGCAGTATAGTTCCCCTGTAAGGGGAACAAGTGTTACTGAAGAAAAAATAATAGGGGTTATTAACAAGCTGTGAAGAAACAGCTCTAAAGAGTCACAAATGAACAACAAAATACTAGAAGTAATCCTTTGATCATCCAGTATACTATAAGTGCCAACTCCAGTAACTTCTGGTTTATGTTCTTAAGATAGGCCACTGAGGAACACTATACTGCTCCCCAATAGTAGAACTCCTAATTCTGTCTCAAAATCCCTCTCCCCTCCCAGCTCTTTCTCCATGAGAATTATTTGGACAGGAGTGAGGGAACAATTTGTTAGCTGCTGGATTTCAGGAGAAGCAGTGACTTCAGGCCTTGCCAGAAGGGGGTATTACAGCTATTGCCACAGTTCAACTTTTGGCCTAGGGACCACTTTACCATGCTCTTTTTATTCCCCCCCCCCCCTTACTAGGGATGAACTCATGACCTTGCACATACTAGCAAGCACTGAGCTACCCCCCATCCCCTTTTAAATTTTATTTTGAGACAGGGTCTCCCTACATTGCCCAGGCTGGCCTCAAATTTTTTTTTTTTTTTTTTTTTTTGCCTCAAATTTTTAAGCTCTTCCTCCAGAGTGACTGGGATTATAGCCGTGCACCACCACACACAGCACCTTTATACTCATAAAATTTATTGAGGACTCCAAAGAAGTTTTGCTTCTGTCGGCTGTATTTACCAATATTTACTATATTTGCAATTTTAAGACTAACATTTTTAAATATGGCAAACCCATTACATGAATAATTACTATCAATTTAATGAAAAATGACTTTTCCAAAATAATCAGTGAAAAAGAATGTCATTATTTTTCATTTTTGCAAATCTAATGACTGACTTGAGATTTTAATTGGATTTTCATATCTGCTTCTCCATTCAGTCTATTTGTAAATGTTATTTGATTGAAATATATGAAGGAAGTCCAGCCTCTCACCAGATAATTGAAAAAGGGATTTCAGGTACTTGTGGTGTTCTTTGAAATTACAGCAACACTTGGCATAAAGTATAAGTTTTTTAAACATTATAGTTGCACTATGGAATCTGAAACATTATCAGTTTTTTGTACTCAGTTATGTTAAGGTCCACTGATGCATCTGGGCACTTATCTTGAATAATTTTGAAATAGCGTGCATTGGTCGTTTATAGGATAGTGGTTTACAGTTACGTAGATCTTCCTAATGTTGACACATTTCATCACACAAAATGAAAACATTACCATTGTTAACACCATCCCATAAATTATGAAGTTGTTGTATCAAAGTAGCAGATACATGCTAACATTCCAGTTTTTGTTTGAAAGCTCGAATTTTATCAGTAGCAATAAATACTGTTAGCTGTTTTTCTTGAATTGAAAAATGTGCGCTAAATACTAAAGTCCACATAACCAGAGTCTGCTGGAGTAGAACTGGTGTCCTGTGAAACAAACAGCTAGTTTAGTTCACAACTTAATTCCACAAGTCTTTTTCTTGAGACAACTGTCACACTCAGTATGTAGCACAAGTGCTCTAAAGTAATGGTTTTCCATTTCTCTGAGTACTGCCTTATTAAAGGACTTTCTTAAATGAAACTGGCTTTAAATTATTATTAGAAGTGTTTGATGGTGAAGAATACAAGGACTTCTACTGTAGTTAGGAGCCACTGCTCTGCTCTTTGCAAAAGCACCAGCAGCTTCACTCAGCATCACTTTGGCACTATAGTGTACATATGAATACAATGCAGGAAAAAAGGGTAATGTTTTAGCATTATTATGGAAATCACTTTGGCCCTACAGTCCCTTGAAAGTGGCTAGGAAGGGCCACTTTTACTTTTCTGGATCTGCTGCACCATTTAATGCTGCTGTCATTTTTTACTTCCATCTTGTTTAAGCTGCTTTTCTTCCAGGTCCTACTGCTGAGGACTCATCTCAAGAGAAAACATTCAAAATTTCTTCTCCCAGACCCATTTTTATAAGCCCAAAGACAAGGGGAAATTTTTATAAATGCCTGAAGAGTGCTTTGGGCTTTATGGTACAAAATACAGCTTTGGATTACTGGTAGTTTGTGAAAAGAACCAAAAGTGACAAAACCTGAATTGTAGTTTGCGGCCCTACTTATTAAATAAATGCCATAGATCCTGAGTTTTGTCATCTGTAAAGTTGTGAGGATAGGATGAGAGAGTGAAAAGTTCTCTGAGTAATATTTAAGCATATACTAGAATGATAAGCTTTCAAATACAAGTAGTAGAATCCTTGGTCATTCTAAGAGTCAAGGGCTGAGAAGCTGAATTGAGAAGCAGGGACCATGAGACCACTCTAAGGAGATACGGAGAAGGACTAGGGGAACAATAGGAGAATAGTTCTAAGAGTTCAACTGGCAAACAATAGGTGGGACTTCATTTATTGATGATATTTTCTGAGTCATTCCCAAGGACCAGGCACTTTTGCATATATTTTCTCATAACAGAACTTCATGTACAAAAATGCTAAATATTCTAATCAATAATAGTCCGTTACAAAGAAAATTAAAGCTAAAAAGTTGTATAAGGTTGCAACTAGCATGTGGCAAATCCAGGCTTCAAACCCTGGTATACTTTAACGATGCTTTTACTCATTTATTGACTTTCAACCCTAGGATGAGAGTGAAATTCCTTTTCAAATGTATATTCTTGCATAAGGTTCACATTAAAATAGAAGTAAAGCTGTCCTGGTAGATGCAGGAGTCCTGCCCTTGCTCTTTCTCCTTACCATCTACCTCCACACTGATCCCACTTGGTAGTATCCTGAGCCTCTGAGGAGCCCAGTTGTAAAAACCCCTGCCTTGCTTTTCATATTTAATTTACATATAGGTTCTACCTAAGTAAACTCGTGATGTAGTAGTGAAATGGGGAAATAAGACTTTATGTCCAAAGATGCTGGCCTCCAGGATAACCTATATGGACATAGGGCACTATGAATAGATTTATGACTTAACAATATGGCCCTGGTTTGTAAATTCTCTGGCAACAATGAAAACAGATGAGTGGTTTCCAAACCTCTTCATAGTGCTGACTTCAAAGCCAGCTTTTTATGAGCATTGGTGACCGATAAACTATCTATGCCCAATGCTGTCACATCACAGGAAACCTAGGTGGCAGATCCCCAAGTATGCTGCAGCTATAAACCCTGGTTTGATTTCCAAAGTGTTGCTGCTGCTGTTTCCAGTCACTGCCCTAGATGCTAGTGCTGTTTTCTCTTTTGAAAACTCCTGGAAGACAATGAGATACTTTCCTATCTGAGCTACTTACTGATCCTTCTTTCCTCATGGAAATTTTTGAATTGTCCTCTCAGCAAAATGGACTGAAAACCCCTCTTTCCTTAGAATGTTCTTTCTGCATTCCCGTATTCACATAGAGTAAAGCCTTGGAGGATACCAGCAAGCCTCCTTAGCTCCACCAGCCTGCTTTGAAGCCAGCTACACAGATGCATGCACTTCCTGGGTGGGGGTGGGGGGAACAGTTAAACTTGCTTCAGTAATCAACTGCGATTCTACACTTTCACCCCAACATTTCAGAACTTGCACAGGAGGCCCTGTAGCCCAACCTTACCTTCTTGCCTCCTGGAGAGGAGGCATCAGGGGGAGGCGTACTTGTAATGTTCAATGGGCTGGAGCCACAGCTGGAAGGTGATGACCCTCTTATCCTGTCAGAGAAGAGTTGAGTTACATTTCCTTTTCTCTTTCCAGAGGAGGAGTGTTTTTTCAGTGGGTAAGGGTGAGAAGGAAGATGAGGATATAGACTAGAGATTGGCAAACTTTTTCTGTAAGAGCCAAAGAGTAACTTTTAGGATCTGTGGGCCACATGGTCTGTCATGCTACTCTGCCATTGTGACTTGAAAGCCTCAGACAATATATAAATGAGCACAGCTATATTCCAATAAAACTTTATTTACAAACACAGGTGATGAACTGGATTTGTTCTGCAGGCACCTGATTCAGAAGGGAGACTCCAAAATCAAGGATCTCAGTGACAAAGCCCTTGGATTCAGGTTGGTGAGTTTCTAGTAAGTGGCCCGTTTTATTTCCTCACAGAATCCAGATGGGTTGAAGATCTTAGAAGTTTAACTTCCCACTTTGATATTATGAATGGGAATCCATAACAAATGATTTACTCTCTTTCCTATAAATATTGTTTAGCTAGTGCATGTGCTTAGGAAATGGAAGGTACCAGGATTGCTCAGCCATACCTAGAAAGTAACCCAGTAGTAGAAATAGTAACAGCAGCCCCTAAAGCAGCAGGTTAGGGAAAGTAGATAAGGGCCTTTCTCGGAATATCTCATCAGAGCAGGTTTATTACAGAAGGAAAGACTTACAACTATAAATCTACATAAACTTGTCAGGCTGAAGGACCTCACGAAAGGGAGCCAGGGCTTGACCCTAGAGCTGGAGAGTAGGAAATGTCGTGGCAGCTGTGTTACCACCACCAGGCTCTCAATTCATCCTTGGATAGATGCAGCTTTTGGGTCACATAAGGACCACTCTCTACTGCCAGAAGTCTTGTGGCTCTTGGCCTGCACTGCCTACTTCTCTAGATTTGTGACAAGTTTTCTTTCTCTCCTGGATTAGAAGGCAGGATACAACTGCATATGTTCTCTCAGCACACACAGAAGGCTACTAATTACTAACGGAAAAATTGCTGGGTGTCTCACAACTTTGCCTGCTTATGACTATGAAACCACTATTTTTCCAGGTTCCCCATCTTAGAATTGCCTTTTCACTATTTCTTATTTCACCTTCAGCTTCAAGTCCTTAGAGTGTTGATTTCTTTATTGACTGCATCATCTTTGTAGGGGAGGCCTCATCCTTAGGTTCACAGACATACCCACCTTCATCTCTCCCTATTCTAGGGGTACTTCCACAACACTTTGGACACCTGATCAGCATCCAATGGTGAGTGGGGTCTCCCATTGTTTTTTTTTTCCCCACAAAACTTCTTGGCATTATTTCTTAGGGTTCTTAACAGTCTCTCTTCATAATCTGTGGCTCCTCCTACACAACGGCTGCCCAGTTAGGTTGCCTGGTCCTTGACCCTGAACCTGCTACTCATACACCCACTCAGGAGTGTGCATGGTTTTCTAGAGGGAATACCCACCCTCATGGCAAAACCAGACTAAGACCTTGTTCAGACCTTTCCTCCCTTGATTGCTTCAGCCCTTGCATTCTCTGCTTTTCCTGTTATAAAGAAAATAGACTTCTCAAAGATTAACCTCAAAGGTCCTTGAGGTTAAGGATTCTGATACTATTTTTAAATAGTCTCACACAAAGCATAGAATGTGTAGTAACTGGTCTGAACCCGATTATAATGCATACTACCCATTCATTCCTTCCTGAAGCAGGAAACCAAATCCACCAATTCTGTGAGGCTGGAATAGAACTGAGCTACCCACAAGGATAGAGCCCCTCTATGGTCAACAGGAAAACCAGACCAGTCTAAGAGAATCCAGTGGCAACAGAAATATTAATCTTTTCCCCCTTTTTCCTATGATGATGTTCCATTAAGCTTACATTCCTAACTATCTGGTTACCACCCTCTTGACTCCCCAGATCAGATGGACTTAACAGGAACTGTTTATCTGCCTTTAAAGACAGATTTAATTCACAGTTGTAGTGCACTTACTATATGTCAGGCTGTGTCCCAGAGACTGCTGAGTTCCTTCACAATACTAAAGCAATTCGCGGGAGACAGACTGTGCCTTCCTTTTATGGTTTAAGTCAACAGATGCCAGGTGTGACTCCCCTGGCACTGGTGACTCCCCTAAGCTCAGCCAGGTAGAGAGGCAGACCCAGGACACAACCCGTAGTGGTCTGCTTCCAAGCTCTTCATTCTTATAGATAGGAAGTCTCCACTAAGAGACTTCTTGATCACTAGATCACTTGATCACTAGCTGATCTGTTTGACCAAGCAGATTTGTGTCTGGATGTCATGGGGAGCTGTTAAGAGTCAAGGTTCTGGCTTACCCCCCAGGTAGCTTGAAGAAATGGATGTTTTATTGCAGCCCAGCTCACTCTGCCAGTGCACAGCTCTGCTTCTGTCTTATTAATGTATGTCATCCTTATTAGGAAGTTCCTTGAGTCATATCAAAGTATTAGAAATGGAGCCTCCTCAAGAATCCCTTTTGGGGAGCTGGGGTTGTGGCTCAGTGGTAGAGCGCTTGCCTAGGATGTGTGAGGCACTGGGTTTGATTCTGAGCACTACATATAAATAAATGAATAAAGGTCCATCAACATGTACAATTTTTTTTAATCCCCTTGGGTTCTGTCCTGTTTGGGTTTAGCTTCTTTATTTCTAAGAAATACCAAGATTTCTAAATCTTGGCACTATTGATATTTTGGACTGGATTCATTTTCATTGAGGGTCAGTCATTGGGGGAAATAGCCTGTGTACTATAGGATATTTAGCAGTAACTTCCCACCCAATTATGACAACCAAAAATGTCTTTAGACATTATAAGACATTCCTTGTGGGGGAGATTCCCTGGGTTGAAAACCACTTGTTTGGGGGAGCAACCCGACAGTGTTTACTTGCCTGTGGATTTCCATGATTTCCTCAGCAATCATGCGACCTATTTTTCCTGCCCCAGCCCTGGTTCCCCCTGGAATCCCTGGAACAGTAGGATGAGTCCTCTTTGGGCCACCTACAACAAAGGAATCTGAGAGTGGGAAAGGGGAAAACTGAGGAAGAAGTACCACTATGTATTAAATGAAAATCAGTTCATCCCATGATGCACTCAAAGTTCAATATCAGGGTGGTGCTTTGTCAGGAGTAGGTACTTTAGCAAGGAAGGCTTCAACTTCCATCCAGGACCAGAGGACTAAGGGTTGATATGAAGTAGCTTATTCTCTTCATGTGCCCAATGTTTACCAAATACCACTATGCTTTGTGCCAGGTTTGCAGAGATAAGACAGCATCCCCACCCTCAAGGAGTTCACAGTCTAATGGAACTAGAGCACAGTGTGTTCACTGGCAAGTAAGCATGAGGGAGGTACCCAATCCAACCAGGCCATGTGGAGCTTTCCAGAAGAGGCTAGCTCTGAGCTGAATCTTCTGTAAGTTAGCTTGGCGGAAAAGTGAGGAGGGGAAGTTATTCCTGGCATAGCAGCATGTGCAGGCACCCTGAGGCAGGACAGAATTTTGGAGTCTACTCCAAGGACTCATGGATGACAACAAGGGTGTGAGGTGAAACTGGTCCAGCAGATACTCGGATCACAAGAGGCCTCGAGGCTGTACTGATGAATGTGGACAGTGTCCATAGGAGTACCAGTGGGCTTTCACAAAAAAGGCACAAAAGTTATATTTGGAGTATTATAAGTCTACCATACAGAGGGTGAACTAGAGTTAGGTGTTGCTTAACAACAGGGATACATTCTGAGAAATGCATCTTGAGGCAGTTTTGTCAATGTCCAGACTTACACAAAACCTAGACTAGTCTACCAAAAGCTGAAGCTACATGGCATATACAGGCTGTTCCTGCTAGGCCACACACCTGTACAGCATGTCCCTGCTGAATACTGTAGGCAATTCTAACACAGTGGAATTTGTGTATCCAAACAGGGTTGTGAGTAATGTGTTGCTCTAGACCTTACAATGGTCATGACATCACTAGGTGATTAGAATTTTTCACTTCCATTATGATCTTATGGGACCACTGTTGTATATGTGGTCTGATGTTGATCAAAAATGCTGTTACTCTGCATGTGACTGTAGAGTGGAGGATGAGGTATGGGGACAGTGAAGTTGGAGTTAGGAAGTTATTGGCAGTAAACCAGGCAGCAGATGAGGTGAAAAAAAGGACAGAACTTCATTGTTTGGATACCAAGGGGAAGAGGCAAGACTCAGGGTTCTGGCTTAAACAACCTTTGCGGGGAGTGCAGAGAATCAGTTCAGGATATTCTGAATTCAGCTGCCTCAGCAACTCTGAGTAGATTTGTCTGGGAGCCAGTTGGAGAGAGAGAGTGAATTTCAGGGAAAAAACTGGGGCCAGAGCTGTGGGTGGGAGTTGTCAGTGGGGTGGTAGGAAGCTATGCAAGCAGAATGGTCCCAGGAAGGGCAAGTCCAGCGTGGAGAGCAGGTGCAAAGGCTGAGCCCTGAGGGAGGACCCACTGGGTATGACAACACCCCAGTACCAATAGACACCTTCTTCCCAACCACAGGAACCAGTGACAGTTACCAAAGAGCACTTCACACCACCGCCACTGGGCAACAAAACAGGAGGAAAGCACAAGAAGAGCAAGGAGTTTGCCGTTTCAAAGGTTTCCAGGGTCCAGGTAGCCTTAGGAAGTGCAACAATGAGTTCCCAGTATTCCAGGATCAACACAGAAAGTGAGATGACAACGTCCTTAGTACTGAGGGAAATCAGCACCTCATCCCCTCAAGGCCTCCCTGGTTCCACAGAAGTGACAGCAGGGGACCTTGAGTACTTGTAGGGAAGATATATGACCACAAGCAGCTTCTCACAGGAAACCCCAATGCCCTGGCAGTACATAGTTACCTTCTCCAGAGGGCAGCATGCTGTCCATGCTGTGAGGGGACGCTGTGAGCTGCGGGAAGGTTGGATCCCCGCCTTCCAGGACGTTGGCTCTGTGAACATCCCAGCAATAAGGAAACGTGAGTCAGGCCTGCTCAGAACCGTGCACCTTTCACCTTGGCCAAGGTGTCCGGTGTCCACTCTGGACCTGGACAGGCCAGAAAATGAAGTGTGTGTCTGAGTAGCTGAACAGGTCTCCTCACTGTTTGATAACATAATGGATAGCATCCCGGCCTTTGGCCTCACTGCCTGCCTGCTCCTTCCTAAGCTGTGTGATGCAGTCCAGCAAGTGGCAACTGTAACAGTGCCACCTCTCCTGCCAGCCCCAGCCCTTCCTCACCTCTAACCATGGGGGGATAACTCAGGGAAGGAGGTATGGGGAGCAGGCCTTGCCAAAAAAGAGCTCCTCCTTTTTCTTGCTCATCTAGCAAATGGAGCAGCTTCTGAGAGGGCCCTCCAGCTGCCAGTGCTCGGGCCTCCAGCCTGAGAGGCATGGACTCTGCTATCCAGAGTCACACCCCAGTGTAAGCTAGTACCTATGTGAGCATTTCAGGCATGGTCAGCCCCTTCCTTCATAGCAGTATAATGGACACCCAGCATGCAGGACCTGTGGAATTCAAAGATTGACTGCTTTATCTGGAAGGAGAGATTGCTGCTTCCTAGAACATTTCCACAAGTCAGGCCCTGCATGGTGTGAGGACTGAAGCTTGTCCTTTGTTAACAAACCTTTCTGCAATCCGCCCATCCTGAGGCTTCACAAGACATTAGCAAGGTGGCATTTAAAGGATGTGATACTGGCTGCTGCCTGTACCCCTTTACCCAGGTAAGAATCTCAAGGCACCTCCCTTGGAAGCAAGGAGCTTTTGACATAGAAAAACACTTACAAAACAACAGTGTTGGTTGAGACGATGTATTCTACTTCCTTGGTCCAAGGGTTCATGAAACTGAACCATCGACTTCGTAGTGTGATGAAAGAACCATCTTTGATTTTAAATTTATAGCAATTAGTTGTAATCTTGTCTCTCGTCTGTAAAACTGAAAATGCAAAAAGCCATAAACAATAGTTTCTTCAACCCAGCATATTAAACAGGACACCCAATACCAAATTAAAAAAGGGACTCGGGCTTGACACATCACTTTAATAAGCCAAGAGAGCCAGTGGTCAACACTTCAGAGAACAGGTTGTTTCTGAGGGTCTCAGAACCTTTCAACTTGCTCATCTATCACTCTTTTCCCAAAATCACTGAAATTAAGGCTCTAGGGAATACTGGAATCAACTCTAATATGAACATCAACAAGTGAGAACGCACCATCCAAAAGATACGTTCTCATCTTAAAGCCCTAGGGAGTACAGCACTTAGCTCAATTTTAGGAAAACCTTACTTGATAGAGGCCACTAACCTAGTCAAACCTCTTTCTTTTATGTAACAAATACGTCATGAGTACCTTTCCTACATAGGCACTAGAGAGCAGAGGCTGTGACTTCTGCCCTCAAGAGAGGAGGTGAGCAAAGGCTACACAGAGGAATTGAAATCAGAGTCTTGAAGGATGAATCCGCTTGCCAAGAGGAGGAAGGAGGAAAAAACACAGCAGGGCCTCTGGAGTGTCGGGGTCTGGTGGGCGCCTTCAAGAGGCGGAATGTAGCTGAGGCATGCCCCCCACAGGCATGGATGGGGAGTGGAGCTGAGAAGGTGGGAAGTCTTAACTTCAAATGCCTAACAAAGGCCTTTGAGCCTGAGTCTGAAGGCAAGAGGGTTTTAAGCAGCAATGTGTGACATTATTGGGCTCAAACTCTCAAACTATCTGAGGATAAGTGGGGACAACTATGGAAAATGGATTGGAGGTGAGAAGGAAGAGGAGTGTTAGGAGTCTATCACAGGTCCTTAGGTGGGCACAAGTGCTTGAAGAACCAGGGTCACAGCAGTGGGGGTGGTAAAAAGTAGAGTCTTTGGAAATGCATGTCTGAACTGAATGGACAGATCTGGTGGAGACAGTAAAGGAAGGAGTCAATGTTGGTTTCTCAGAAGGCCACACATATGGACATGCCATTAGACAAGAAGGAAAACACAGGTCACTGTGTAGGCCTGCATGGAAAGGAACCAGATCCGTCAGGGCATACTAAATCTATTCTGGATCTGTGTAAACCCTTCCAGAGACTGCCATGGCCTATGTAGAGGAAAGTGTCATGCCCTCAGGGACAGGGAATCTGCGAGTGGAAAAATGGTGTCTGGGACATCAGTCTCCTGTCCTTAGAAATGCTTAGGCCTGAAGAGTCCTGGGCCCCTCTGGGCTGGGAGGCTGACTCCCACATCATTGGGGGCAGAGTTCTCTGGGAGATCATATGGACTAAGCTTGAAGTAGTGGGACACTTATGGCCTTTTTATAGCCTAGCTTACCTTGCCGATGACATTCTGCAAGATGTCCTATGTCATCTTGATGAAAATATTCATAACATGATGTGCCTAGGAGTTCTTGTGGTAAATATGCCAGAATAGCTGTTGCCCTAAAAGAGAATAAGGGATTTTTTTTTTTAAGACTAAAAAGCCATTTAGACAGCTAATAGCAAGTTTTCAATGAATGAACCCTGCCTGTGGGAGCAAGGTCGAAGCTGGAGCCAAAAAAGCCAGGTGGGTTTCCGAGGGCTGATGTGTGTCTTCTTGCTTCTGGGTTTAATCAGAACCAAGCAAAGAAGCCTTTCAAGGGGACTAGCATCACAAGAAATGAAATTTTAAGAGATTTTTAGATGGTGACCATATTAATTAGGTAAAAATGTGGTAGAAATCTAAACACAAGTGCAAACTTCTCACTTTTACTGCCTATTTTTAAAAATCAGGAATCCAAACTCCAAAAGCTCTAGCAGCTGGGCCCATAAGAGCCTTTTCAAGCATTCTGTGGCTATCTCTAGTGGTCAGAAAAATTATTACCTTGCAAATATTCTTAAGGGAGGCAGCAAGGAGCAGGGAATTATAGTACTTCGGGTTCTCAGCCGAGTCTGGCAGCAGGCTGATTCTCAGTCTGGACCTCAGTTCTTTACTTATAAAACAAGGAGGCTGGATTAGGTCACTGTAGTTCAATAGGACTTTCTGTGATGATAGATACGTTCTATGTGCCATTAGCCACATGTGGCTATCAAGTACTTATGTGACTAGTGAGCCTGAGGAACTGAATTTTTCATTTTAATTGATTAGGTTCAAATTTAAATAGCCATATGGGGCTACCATGTCTAATGACTACTGTATTAGAGAGCTCAGGACTACATAATTGTTTCCAGGATTTACATTTCAATCAAAGTAATGATCCTGGAGTATTTCACAGATGTAGAGAGTAGGTCTACTATTTTTCTTTGGCTTTGGATGTCAAATCTCCCCACTTAACTGTTTATCAAAGAATGACACAGAAAATCTCTATTTTTAATATCTTAATGAATCTCAATTTTAGTATTATTCTTGGGAAAGCTAGCTGACAGCCCAGTCTTCTTTGCTTTTCAACTCAGGGTTCATAATCCTCTGCCATCATTGCTCAAGGGTGATATGCAGACCCTTACCTCTGGTCTACAAAGACAAATTTCCCATCTATTGCATGCCGAGAAACGTACTCCATGGATTTCACCCTGATTTCCCCGTTCACTGGTTGGGGAACCACATGAGAATGCAGTCGTCCAATTGCGACAAGGCAGCTGAGGTTACACCCCTCGTTGTCTGGTTCATTGTCTTCATCCAACCCCATCTTTGTGGGTGGCCAGCTTTTCAAATAGCCTGTGCTGTGGATTGTACAGAAGCTTTTTCGATCTGCTGGAAAGCAAAATCCATGGTTAGCATTAGTGCTGGGTCTGGGTCATGGAGGCACACAAGCAGTGGAGGGTGAGGTAGGATGTAGTTAAGGAATCCAAAAGTTTAAAAAAAGGCCTCATCCTTCAGAAGTGAGCCTCTGGTGAATGAGGCCAATAGACTAAAGTCACCCAGTGTCATATATGTTTAGTAGAGCCAGTTATCACCAAGGGTTTTCCATATATGGAGGAAGCAATACCTCAATCTATGTGAGGAGAGGAAAGCTCCCAGAAAAATCAATATAGGAGGCTACTGAAGAAATAGCAGTGGCTAAGGGACTAGAATGTGCGAAGTTTAGAGAATGTACAAAGGCACAGAGACATACCCTATATAAGAAATGGCCAAGATTTCCAGGTGGCTGAAATGAAAAGGAAGGTTCTTGGGGGTAGAGCTGAGAAGCAGGTTGGGAGCAGATTACAAGGGTCTTGGACTGTTTGCTAACAAATAAATGTGTTATTTATTTTTCAGACAGTGAATGGTGAACTTCCAAAGGTGTTCAAGTGGGAAAATAGCAAAGTCAAATTACGGCTTGGGTACTTAGAGGGTGATGGATGAATGGGAAGAGAGTGGAAAACAGAAGTATGGATAGCTGGTTCAAAGCCAGTGGCAAGAGATGACAAGAACTGAATGATGGCAGCATTGGGGAAGCAGGAGAGATTTCTGAGAACTGTAGGATTTGGCATGAATATCAGGCATAAAAGAAAATAAGACTGGCTCCCACTTTTCTGGATTGGGTTGTTGCTGATGTCATTCAGTTGAAGCACCCGTGGACTTCAACGCCAAACAAACTGACAAGGAGAGTTCAGCAAGCATGTGTGCTGGCTACTAGAACAGAGTGGAAAACCCACAAGAAACACCCAGTGGAGCTGACAGTTGAGTCGGGGAGGCAGACTTTTAAACACATAATCACACAAGTAGCTATAGAACTGCAACTCTAAGAAAGCACTAGAAAGAAAGCCTGTGGGAGGCCATGAGAAGGCAGAAGGTGGACTGAGGCCAGAGTAAGAAGGTGAAGGGGACTGTCGGGGGTGAGGGGAAAGGAACTTCAATCCAAGTGACAGCATGGGCAGAGGCCTTGTCCAGAAAGGGGCTGAGGCTTCAAAGGCAGGCAGCAGGGCTTAAATGCAGGCAATAGTGGCAGGGTTGTGTGCTCATGTTAAATATTTTGAAATTTTCTTCAAAAGCCAGGGAAACAATAAAGGGTTTTAAGCAGGTAACTGATAAAAACATTTTATTTAAAATAGGTCATCCTGGTAGCTTTATGGAGGTGCGGAAAACCTACAGAGCCTACCGCATCATGCTTGACGACAGCTGAGGGTAGCCTGACCTGAGTGATAGTGGTGCATGGAGATGGCTAAACACTGCAGGTAACTTCTGCACATGAGACCATTGTGGCAGGACTTGTAACTAATGAGGAGTGGGTGGTGGGAGGAGTAAGGCTTCTTCCCAGCCTCTAGAATGAATAGCTGGCTGGTGTCATTTACATTAAAGGAGGGAGCCCAGTGGCTACTTTGGCATGTATCATGTTTGAAAAGCCCCTGAGATATCAAAGCAGATACATTCACTCCACCATTAATTTATAAATCTGGAGTTCAGGGCTGGGGTTGTAGCCCAGGGGTAGAGCGCTGGGCATGCGTGAAGCCCTGGGTTTGATTCTCAGCACTGCGTATAAATAAATAAATAAATATCCATCCACTACTAAAAATCATTTTTTAAAAAATCTGGAGTTCAAAAGAAAAGCCTGGGCTAGAAATGTAAACTTGGAAAATATTGGCATGTAAATGGCACTTAAAGCTAAGGGAGGGGCTGGGTGCAGTGGTGTAGGCCTGTAATACCACCTACTTGGGAAACTAGGCAGGAGGATCATAAGTTAAAGGCCAGCCTGGGCAACTTATTGAAATCATGTCTCAAATTAAAAAGGGCTGGGAGTGTAGCCCAGTGATAGAGCACTCCTGGGTTCAATCCTCAGTGCCAGACCAAAACCAAAAAACAAAACAAGACGAAAAAAAAAAAAAAAAACCTAAGGGAGTGGGTGATATTACTGGTGGATCAGTGTAGACTGAGGAAAGAAGCCCCAGATTAGAGGGGAGGAGCCAAGAAAAGGAACCAGGAAGAGAGCTGGAGTGGCAGAGGATGGGGTTGAGAAGAAAGTAGTTTCATGGAATGCTGGGGAAGAGAACCCCTGGCAACAAGGAAGAGCAATGAAAAGTGTTCACTACCAATCACCCCGACCCAACTTGTTCCCCCAGTGAATGTGCTAATCAATGTTAAGAGTTGTTGTTTGATTTTCCTGCAGTGTGAAATGATTTGCTGTGTGATGTTGTGACGCATAGAGTATCCCCCAGAAAAACCTATAAATCCTCACTGAACAAAGGACCAGGACTCACTCCCTGGGACCGCTGCATAGTAAACAGTTGTGAGTCCAGGCTCGAGCTTGCAATAAAGACTCTTGTGTGATTGCAAAAAATAAAAAATAAAAAAAAAATAAAAGTGTTCACTGCATTTAGCAGCATAGAGGTCACTGGTGAAGTTCGTGGATTGCTTAGAAGGCAGTTAGAATTGTGGCTTATGGTATTCTTTCCCAACCATATTATAATAAACAGAATTTCAACAGAGGAAGCCTCTCCACAAATCTTTGTCACTGTGGCAACATGTGGGGGCCTTGTGGCTCTGTCCCCTGCTCCCCACATCCCTTATGCTGTGGAGGGACAGCAGGGCCTGGCTGCAGACTTGGCTATGAGGAACCACTGAACCAGCACTCTGCAGAGGGCTCCACTGCAGAAAGCAAACCTCCTCCCAGGATCTTAAAGAACTGTCAAATTGTACCTTTTTTCTTTGAACAGGTGGAGGGGAAGTCCTTGTCTTCGACCTTCACTGAAGGCCTGTTACACTTCATCCTACAGAAGAAAGAACGTCGTGCTCCAGAACATAATCGAGACGGCCCAGGGGTTATATCTGTTTTAACTGGAAGTCCAGCTGCAAATCAACACACAAAATGTGATGAACTGAGAGTGGTGCTGCCTGTCAGGAGGGGGAACGTGACCTTGAACAATCTGTTTCTTTACTGTCTCCCTGTAAGGCAAAAAGAACACTTCTCCCAGCTTAGACCTCCAAAAAATGCAGTAAAGATCCCTGTGTTATTAATTGGGAAATATTCAAAGATGATATAGAAAGCACTAGTGCACAAATGGCTTAGATGCTCTGGAGGATAAAAAGAAATACTGCATAGCATTCCTCTCTAACAGCAGCTCACAAATGAGAAGGGGAAATGGAAGTGCACCAAGAAGAGAACAGTGACAACAGCGTATTATTATGTCAAGTAAATGGCAAGGACAACCTGTGTTTCCCAGAGGAAGAACTCCAGCTGGGACCTGAAGGGTGGGCAAGGTTTAGATATCAGCATGGAAAGTAAGAATTGGGGTTCCCTAAAATTCTCGACCTGGCTGTAGGCCACAATCCCTTAGATGCTCTTTTGACATAGATTCTTGGATCCCATTCTAGACCTGTGCTGTCCTGTGCTGTAGCCACTAGCTGCATGTGGCTGTTGAGCACGTCCTTATGGCTTTTCAGAACTGAGGAAAGAAGTGCTATGAGTGTGAAACACACAAAAAAATACCAAAAAAAGTAAAAGAACTTATTAATTTTTTGTAATTATTTCATGTCAAAGTGACATTTTGGATTTGTTGGGTTACATGAAATACATTATTAAAATTAATTTTACATTCAGTTTTACTTTTTTTAAATGTAGCTACCAGGAAATATAAAATCACATGCAGTTTCTGTTTGTAATTGCATTTTGCTTCTATTGGGCCGGGCTCTTCCACAAACAAATTCAATTGGTCTGATCATGTTGGGTGCTCCTGGGGTGCTCTGATGTACAGCCTCCTTACAATGCAAAGGGCTGAGCAGTATGGAAGGTGGGGGCTGAAAATCTCATAGGCAGGAAGAGCATCCCATAGCCAGCATAGGAGCAATCAGAGGGAGGAGTGGCTGCTGCCCAGACTCCTCCGGGCAATTCTTCCCTCCTCTCTTATCCCCATATTGCTCCCTCCCTGATCTGTCCCACCCAGCTCAAGTCCTCCACTGTGTCCCCTTCCTCCACATTTGATCCAGAGGCACTGAGCAAGCCACAAGACTCTACACCTCTATACCTGTCCACACATGGTTTTCTCTGCTCTTCTCCTCCTTCATCACCTGGCAAATACTAAATCTTTACAGATCCACCTCAGCTGTCATCTACTCAGTGATGCCTGTCCTCACGCCCACATGAGCATGACTCATCCTGCTCTTGACACCTGGTGCTATTTCTATGGCTGCACCTATGACACAGGGTGCTGTATGCTGACTATATGGTAAAAGCCTCAAAGGCTAGGACAAAACACCATCTTGTTCTCCTTAGGTCACACTAAAAAGAGGCCAAGGCCAGACTATAAAGGGCAATGGGTACCAGGGACTACATTTTACTTTCAGGAAAAAATGTGCCTTAATGAAAAGAATGTTTTAAAGGTAATTCCTCTGTGGTATTTCCCTCAGGGATTAATGTGAAGAACTTGGAAGCAGGAACCTAGTTAGACCATGACTTCAGTGGACCATGGTGAATCCAGTACTGTTATCATACTTGCTGTGTGCTGTGGATTGACCCACATTCTTTATGGAGTATATCAACATACTGACTTCTTGCAACAACTCAATTATTGAATTAGGTACTATTTTGCAGATGAGGAAACAGGCACAGAGAAGTTAAGTAGCTTTCTCAAAGCTAGTGAGTAGCAGAGCCAGGATGTGCACCTAGCATTAAGCCAGCTTTCAGAGTCCACATTCTTTAGCTGTAGTGGGATCAGCAGGAAAGAGCTCCTGGGGCCTAGCACAGGAGGCGCAGGACAGGGTACAGGAGTGGGAAACAGGAGACAATGTGAGTGATGGTTCTCCTGCTGCGGAAAGAAAACCAGGAGGAGGAGCCAACCCAGTGAGGAATCATTTGGGCCAAAGAAACATCATATTTACACTGGGAGTTTTCTTACTTGTATCTTCTGAGACTGCATGTGTGCAATTCAGATATACAGAGGCAATTTGTTCTGGGAGAACAAATGAAAGTGTTGTGAGCACTTTAAATTCAGGAGCATGTAATTGGGAACTTCTAGACTGTGGGGGTGGGGGCGGGAAGACTAAAAGAATCAAAACAAAGCTCTTCCAAAGAATTTGGACATTGAACTTTTTTCTTCTTTATGTAAAATTTTAAAAAACACCACCAAAAAACAAAATCAAAAGAACATAGATAATTCCATTTAGCTGCAGATGGCAGCTGCAACTGAGGAAAAGGGCATCAAGGTAGGAAGGGTATGGGAAAGCCACCACACACATCTCCCTGCTTGCTGGGGGCTCGGTGGTCCCAGGAGCCGCTGCTGAGGCCACACCTACTCCCCTCGACTCACTTTTTGCATCTATGAGCCGCTCCCGGGGTGCTGTGTCAGAGGAGGAGAGCTGCTCCTTGACTTTGGCGATATCTTTAGGGTGCAGGTAGTCAAACAAACTCTGACCAATCAGATCGTTCTGTGGGGATGAAATGTTAAAAATAACAAGTCAACTGCAGGTGGAATATAAGTGAAGCAGCACGTGCTCAGCGTCTGTACATCTTCTGTCTTTATTTTGTATTTTTAAGCATGAGGAATCTCAAATATTTCCTATATGAGCATGAAAATATATCAGCATCAGGAGGCTGATTTTGATAACCTATGAGGGAAAAGGTTCAATTATATAAACAATTCATGCTCCTCTGAGGCAAGAATCTTCTGGCTGTATGTATTCTTTTTTAATTATTTTCAAGTTCCCTGTAAAATGTCAGAAGGAAGAATGGAGGCTGTGGGCTCTGATACCAGCTCTGATATTAAGTCTCTGTTTTTAAGCAAGTCAGGTCACCTTATGTATTAACAGAGATAATAAAACTTCCTCCATACCTGTGCTCTAAGACTAGAAAGAACAAAACATCTTGGAAAAAGTGAATTTACATAAATCTGAATTTATTTAAATGCCATTTTTATTCAATTCTGCCTATAGAGATTCCATACAAATACCAGTGTGTGAATGAGTGAATGGATGAATGAACAGAAGTTCTGAGGACATAACAGGTGAAAAGCTTGGTTCTAGAAGCTTCCATATGTTACTCTTATTTGATCATACAAACAACCGTAAAAAGTATGGTTTATTATAGTTAATTTTTAGAGGAAGCTGAAGCTTGGCAGAGCTTCACATCATCGCAAACACACATGGGGTGGATTTCCAAGTTTCTTATTCTTAGGTATCAAATTACCTGCCTTTCTCTCTTGACAGATAGCCTTGCTCCCCACCCTAGTATACAGTTGTGGGATATTTATTTTGCTACAATAAGAAAGCTATAAAGCTGTTGATCAGATCAGTGTTAGCCCTTCTGCTGGGGTAAATAAGTTTAAATCCATTTCTCTGTTAAGAATTTGAGAAATTTCTGGAAGAAGTGTGAACAATACCTGGCTATAGTTGAGGATCTTGAAGACAGACTCTGAGACAAAGAGTATCTTCCCTCGGTCACATCCTACGACAAACAAAAATCCATCTGCTGCCTAATCAGGAGAAATGGATAATCAATTTATCATACTTTAGGATACACATTTTGTACTCACTTTGATCGCAAATCAAGGATTTGTTTTCTAACTTTCCAAAACACAGGAACCCTCACTGATTGTGTCACTGGTATCCTAAGAACAGGATGCTTAAAAATAAAGACTTTATGAGGATAATATGATTCTCTGCAAGTCCGACATATTGTCATCTAATGATTTTAAGGAAAAATTCAATTAAAATTATGTTTCAAAACAGAACACGGCTTAAGAATTTCCTCTTTATTGAACAATAAATTATGTTCAGATAAATTATGTTCCACTGCTCCAATTATAACAACTCTATGGAGAACTATAGAACCTGAGATTGCAAGGACTCTCTGAGATCAGAATCCCCTCTCCAGTGGCTCAGCCACCATCTACCCTCAACTTGAACACCTTTAGTGATTGGGAGCTCTCCAGAACTGTAGTTCTCAACATTGGGAGTAGTGGTTTTGTTTTCATTTTTAGGCTGATGTTCTGGCAAAGGACTAGGTCACTGGTATTTTTTTAACCCTCATCCCATGATTCAAATGTACACAGGGTTGGAAACTACTGCCCTCAAATATTATTCCTCAAGCTAGAGCTGGGCCATTTGTATTCTAAGTGAGACAAAAAAAGAAAAAATTTCCCATTAGATTCTTCTTATTCTTTCTTCAGCTTAAATACAGGTAAAAAATCTTTGATGCCAACAAAGACAGGTACGGAGATGGGATGTTTGGCAGAGTGACTGATGCAGGTGGATGCCAAAGCTACAGTGCCCGAGAGCATAGGCTATTCCGTCTGTGTGTGCAAGGGTCTTCTGGTGACAAGGAGAGTGCTTCCTACTCCATCACACCCTTGCCTTTAAGACTCTGCTCTCCTAATGCACAGTGGGTTCATTGCTTACGTTATTCACAAGTCTTCAGTCAGTTCTTTACAAGAAGCTAGAGAAATGCTGTTCTCTTTTCTACAAAAGGGCCTTTGGGATATAGTTTAATTCAAAGAACTAGGAAATGAATTCATGCTCCAGAAGGTAAAAGAACGGTGTGGGCTAGAAGGAGGGAGTGAAAGGGAAACAGAATCATTACTGCCAGGAGAGCCTGGCAGGCCACCCAGCCAGAGGACTTTGGGGAGGATCCTTCCCTAAGTCAGGTCCCTAAGCTGACCCAGGGGCAAAGGACGATAGTAAAGGGGCAGTAACTTTCCAAGCACCATCTGCTGGAAGCCTCATTCTGTCAAAAAATAGGGCCCTCATAACTTCCTTATTCATCTTGCAGACAATCTGATATCTCATAGGAAAAGGGCTTTCACAGATGTGGTTATTTGGTACAAAAGGGATCTGGGAAAAAGGTGACTGAGACATCCTGGTGGGAATACTGGGCAGTCAGGCCTGAACTAAGGCATCAGCAAAGAGGATTTCAACATATCCAGGGGAGAGTGAGTGGGTTGTGAAGGCCAGTGACAGCAGTCCATGCAGGGGAGGCTCTGCGCAGTCCCACTCTGCGGCACTCTAGCAAACAGATCCCAGGTGCAGGAGCTGAGCCCTAGGGGACAGCTGAAGAGCAGGGGTTGGGAGAACACTACTAGCTCCAAAGTATACAAGGACAGTCAGGGCAGGCCTCCTTGGGGAACATGATACTAGTGAGTAAGTGGCACAGAGGTCCTGGTAGCGTCTGCCTCATTTTCGTAGAGTATCTAGACATTATAAGCTGGTCAGGCTGACTGACCATGACACAGTTTTTAAAAGATATTTTGAAAGCACTAGATAAAGAGAGTGGTTAGTCAGATTGGCACTAGTGGAAGTCTACTACCTGCTGACTAATGGGTCTGGTCTGACATCACTTGAGTGGAGTCTGCTTTCTATGGAGTAAATTTCTGGCTACTGGACACCTGGCAGTGTTAAGTGTTAAGGGGTTGGACAGTATTTCACAGCCACTGATATGTGCCATTGAGGTGAAACAAGCTTCACCAGGGAAGACAGAGCCCATGAAGTATACGAAACAGAGGAGTAGAAGAAAAGTCCAAGGAGGAGCTCAGCTTGAATAGGAGTATAATCCTTGTTCTAGACCCTGATCAATGCAGGCATCTGATAGGAAATTATTTTTAAAAGCAGCAACAAAAAATTATTAAATGTGACATTTCAAAAGGAACATTACACACACACACACTTTTTTTTGCCCTAAAAATTTTCAGATTCTTAATATGCTAATCGGAGCCAGAGACATAATTTGAGGGGTCTAATACAAAATGAAAATGCAGATATCCTTGTTCAAAAAATCAAGCTTTTCAAGGTGGACAACAGAGCATTCAAGCAAGCAGGGGCCCTAGGTGACTGCACAGGTCAAATGTCTATGAAGGCAGCCCGGACAGCAGCTCCCGAGATGCTCAGACCTAGTTTAACTTTTACTTCAGTGAGAACCTCCCTGAGAACAAAGCTTTATGGAAAGGATGAGAAGGTAGGGGCGAGTTGGATATCTGAATAACTGTCCTGGGAGTAGTAGCCAAAGGACCATCACTCACTTGCTAGGAAACCTGAGCCCCACCTGAAGCCCCACTGATTTGGATGTTCCTGGCACGGTACCATTAACCAGCAAAGATACAAAAATGCTTGCCCAATTAGTGAATAAAAATGCTTGCCCACGGTACCATATAACCAGCAAAGATACAAAAATGCTTGCTCAATTGGTGAATAAAAGAGCATTAAGGGCAAAGAGGCATGCCTAGCAGACCACATGTCACATAAAGATTCAAAGGGTTGTTAATGACAAGCTGGATAGTATAGTATAGCCATCCAAAAAATAGAATGCAACAGAGATAAAAGAGAAGTCCTAAGTTCAGACACAAACTGCATCTGTACAAGATGTAAAAAGCCTCACTTAACATTATTTCATGTACAAGAGAACTAGGAAGGAGCAGTATTGAAGCTGCCCAAAATGTGGCAGTAATAAGGTGACTTCTATGACACCACTCAACCTCAGGCCAACCAGACATCAGCCTAAGTGATGAGCTGGGTTGTGTGAGCCACTCGTGCAGGGAAATCTAACAAATGGATGTGGCTTTGGACAGTGTTATAGGGTCAGTTCCTGCTCCCGTGTCCTTCTCTCTGCTTAGCTTCATCATGTATAGTAGGAAATCTGTATACTTGCTTCTGTCTGCACCCTGCCCTACAGCTAGGGGTGACCAAGTGACATATTTCTAGACATGAAATCGCCTGGGAAGGCATATCCTTTCCTGATAAAAAGGAAAGATAGTCTAAAGCCTCCCCAACCCCATAAAAGAGCCTGGTTCCTGCTGACCTCAATAACCAACACAGTAACCTCCACAGAACCTATGTGGAACCACTTACATTTGAGAAAAACATCTGCATTTATTTATCATATCCATGGTTCCTTGCAGCTGAAAGCTTTCCTGCTTCATAGAGCGCATCATGAGGGAATGAAGAGAGAATTCTATGATGTGTTATGGGCCAGACTTACAGAGCGTCCGAAGCTAGCTTGAGTTGAAAATGGATAGCAGTGATCCAAAGATCCAGCTGGGCTGCCCTCTATCCAGGGGTTTTGTAAACTTCTACTGAACGATGGGAGACAGTCTACTGCCATACCACCCAGAATGCACCTGATGGCATCTGAAAGATGGGGGCCAGATGCTGTAGGTGGCTGGATGGGGAAGGCTGGCCCTGGCTGTGTGTAAGGAGGAGGCAGACATCCTTCCTTTCAGTTAACATTTTTTCTATTTCTCATTTTACAGTATGCAAGAGGACATGTCTTTCCATTTCGTTCCCTTCAATTTTCAAGTTGATCTTACTCTATCCAGCAACATGCCTTGGAGCTTTGTGCAGACCTCACCCTGAAAGTCAGCAAGTCCCCATGGCACCATCTCAATCATCTGTGTGCAGAGACTGAGCAAGACAGAGCACCAAAGTCAAGCAGAGGAAAGCATGTGCCTCTTTCATTTTCCTCTTGGTGTTTTGTTGTTTTGATGGATTTTGGTATAAAGATTTAGGTGGACATTTTTGTGCCAGTGGTTATATCAAGACAAGAGAAAGTTTCAACTGTCATCAGTTTTAGTCCCCTTTCTAAAACCTTGATGCAGAAATGTGACTCTTATTCTCTCCTATTTTTAACAAAATCCGGCCTCTCCTGGGTTAAAATCACAATAGCACAGACCTTCCATTTTTGCTTAAGCAATGTCAGAACAGAGGCGAAAGGTTCTGTGGAAGGAACATGAAGTCTGCCCAAACAATAAGATGGCAGTAGAGACCTGAGGACTAGGATCCTAAAGAACTCAGTGTTGACACCAACTCCCCACATGCAGGCACTCACTCTAAATATATAAAAATCAATGTTGTGGAAAATAATTCCATAGCTATGACCTACCCTGAGAATGAGGTGTTTCAATTCATCATCTGATAGAAACGTTGGTTTATAGTTTGCTTCTGTATATGGATTGGTGGCACCTAGGAGGAAGAAAGAGGAAGAGTTGGTAGATTTTATGTTCAGACAGTATCTCACTCTACTTCACTACCTCAAACCTTCTGGATGAAGCCTAGACCCTACTAGCTAGGATTTACATTTTGTCTTCTTTTTACTTCAATGAGACAGGGCTAGATCTGGTTTTAGGCAGAATCTTACCATGCCAAGGAGAACTCCCTTGAAAAGAGAACACTGTGGCCGGCATGAGCTTTAACAAGCATGCTTTTCTTATGGGGAACACCAAGAGATAATAGGAGGAAGTTTTTAATTTTGCAAACTGGTAGAGGCTCCTGGGAGGGTTCCCACCTCCCAAGCTCCATATTGGGAGCTGTCTATCAGTCCGTCGAGTCACCACTCTAAATGTTCCTTCCCGAGAAACAGTCCGGTCACCCAGGCCCTGAACAATGAACTACAGAGGTCCCTGAGCATGTGCTCCTCTTGGTGGGGGTAGTTAATGAGCTTAGCTGCTATCACAGTGCAGCTCCAGCGCCCAGGACTGAAGGGGGACAAGACTGTGTTTAAAAGGCTGTTAATCTGGTATTTTTCAGGAGAAAAATAACAGAAAAATGCCAGCAGTAAATGACTTGGAAGCTTCAGAACCATGTGTAGGATAGCAAAGGAATAAAATGAAGCAGCTCTATTATACCTTGAACTTTTCTACGTTTTTCCCTTCCAATTTAATTTAGTTCGTAATAACCTATATCATCTTTGCTAAAATGAATTTTTGAATGCATTCTTCAAGCCTAAGATACAACATTCATCTCTTTTGGAATAACAATAAAAAATCAGAAACAAACAAACAAAAACAACTACTTCTTATTTCTGGTGGCCTCATCAAATATTAGATGGGACTCTTTTACCACACATGTCAGATATGACTGAGTACCTACTTTCCAATTTCATTTAATAGTCCAAGTCTAACTATGGAAAATTCCAGGAACAGCATTCACTAAAATGCCTGATATATTTCAGATTCTCCTGTGGTTTGGATAAGTCACTTCCACTTTTCTGCCTCTGTTTTCTCACCCTCCCCACACTCAGCAAAGAAGGAAAATACTGCCTCCCTCATAAAGAGTCAATCTAGTTCGGGAAAATTCCAGGAAGATGAAAATATCATCAGTGTTCATTCCTGACAATAAAACTTAGCAAGAACTATCTATCAACCAGTGACTCACTCTTCAAAGAAGTCATGTTAAATGTTTCTCTTAAGAACTGAAACTGACTTTTCTGCATCACTGTGTGCACCCACATTTCTGATCTTTATAAGTGCAAGGGTGGGACCCAATACGTGCACATGTAAGATGGGATATCAGTGGTGCCCTCTGATACGCAAAAGCTCAGCAACATGTGCATTCAGAGAGGTATGCAAAGCTTACAGCTGAAGTCTGATTGCAAAACTGCATCTCAGTACCCACATATACTCAATAATTGCTTCTTTGGCATCATTATCTATTTCCAAAAAGCAAAGGCACATTACACAGGGCTACACATTTGCAAGTAATCACCATTTTCTTGAGGGACTCAGGAACTTCTAGGTATCGTTTGTGGGCAAGGACATAAAGGACAATAAAGCCCAGGGTCTCACCTCTTAATGTTTTCATGTGCTGAACGGCCATCCTTAGCACGGTCAGTTTATCTAATTTCCTGGACATCGCATTACACGTTGGTACCAAAGAAGCCAATTCATCAATAAAACTGTTCATTTTATCCCGACGCCTCTTTTCAATCTGACTGTGAGCTTCCCTGAACAAGATGAAAAATGATTTCTTATAAAACATGTGCAAGCATCAAGGAAACGATGACAAAAATAAATGAGTTGTAACTGTTTTCATTATTTATCTAACAGGTAAATTTAGAATTTGCAAAATTATTCAAATTATACTTTTCTACTAAAGTCACCCCAAAATGGTTTCACTGTCATGTCAGAATTAGTTTTTTTTAGGCTCATCTTATCCTTAGAATTAAGAAAAAGAATTTCCCTTTCACAGTAAACTGAATTGTTAATTTCTCCTCATTGCTTTTCCTCTCAATATCTATAAAATTGGATTTTGAGATGGGGGTGGAAGGAGGGAAGAATGGAGGTGGAGGTTTAACAGGATTAAATACCCAGAACAGCCACAGCGAGTGCCCCACGTCCCCTAGTGGGTGCCTCTGAGGCCTACGCAGAGCCTGCTGTGTGGCCTGCAGAGGGCATCACTTCTTTCTTGTCTGAGAATCATTGACTGAGGGGCCTGTATCAACACTGCCATCCTTGGATCAACCAGGGCCCATCTAGGTACAGCAGATGCTACCCCACACCAGTCCCCAAGCTTCTCTGAGGGATGTCACACTACTCCCTCCTGGGAGTGGCCACCCACCTTGGCAGGAAGACACTTCCCTGCCATTTGTAATTGTCCTCCTAAGGAGGTACACCAACAATGGATATGTAGCTACAGAGGGTGGGACCTCCTGCAAAGTCTGGTCTGCAAGGGAAAGGCTAGAAGTCGCAGTGGACTTAAAAAGTTAGCTACTTTCTGCAGGCCCCTACTTCTGTGTCATTATACAGGCTCAGATGGCCCTGGTACTGATGGCAGGGAAGCTTGAGGGCCCAATGAGAAGAGGTCAATAAGTATGGCTGGAGGCAGGGAGGACCAAGTTAAGACCTACTCAAGGGAGCAGGATGTGCCCTAGGTCTGGCCTTCAGATGCAATTTACTGTGTCATAAGGGCTCCCGTGGGAGGCAGGGCGCAGCCCAGGGATGTGATGGGTCACTGAGTCATGTCTCCTCTGGAGGGCCCTCAGTCAGGAAGGAGTAACCTTCTGGAGGTGGGAAAAACTAGCCTAGACTAATTTTCTGCAGGTTAAATATGCTTAGATGGCAATAAGTGAAGTCCAGCTCAGTCTGGAGGCAATAGACAGCAGAAGACTACATTCAACCAAGGCCCACTACCTCTTCTCAATGTCCCTAAGGATGTGCCAGTGCCCAGAAGACTCTGCAGACAGGTAGCAACTGCACAGAGCCTCCTCAGCCACCCTCTATGCAGCCAGGACCAGAGCAGTCTAGACAAAACAAGGGCCCAAGCTCACCTTGCATTCTTGATCCTTCCCTGATGCTCTGTATATTCTAACCTGGAAAAAAGAAAGAGAAAGATGGAAATGCAACCCCCAGCAGATGTGCGGCAAAGTTACACCTTTCCATTTTCCTTCCTGCAAGATCCCCGTAACCTCTCCACAGACACACGAGGACTCCTGATTGTTAGCCACATTGGGGACTGGGGTGGAGGGAGATAGTCTTGAGCCCAGAGGCTCATGACCTTCTGCTTATTTCCAATTGAGACAAGGTAGAACATGCCCCAAGTAATAGAACATGTAATCGTGCAAAGAAAATGGCTATAAGGACACTAAAGTTCAAATTACTAGGTTCATGGTACCTTCCATGAGGGTCATCTTTGTCTGTGTCCATGCTTTCTCTGCAAAAACAAGAGGACGTGACTGCATGTTAATAAAGACATACAGAATGGCTTCTGATCACAGCACAGAAAGCTCTCATTTATCCAGAAACCAAACAATTTGAGAGCTCAAATAGCTAGAGTATACATGAATGATGAATAAGACCAAAAAAAAAAAATAAATAAGTTGAACCTGCTGCAAAACCTGGTCTGGCTTTTGACATTATCAAACAAAAGTCTCAATAGAGTTTATGTGTTAAATATATTCTACCATATTCTCACTGTTTCAAAACTGGGAATACACATGTTTATGGAAACTCTTAGCCAGAGTATCCAAGTGCCTATTAACACTTCATTCCCTAGTCATTCTGGATAAATGGAGCTTATTTCATTTGCAAAACATATCAAGCATCAAAGATATGTGTGCATATATATCTACCTGGTGCGGGGTAGGTGAGGAGGGACTAATGAAGCACTGACAAAGGAGTACTGGGCAGAGCCCCAGGCAGCGTTCCAAAGGCACTGCTACCAAACGTTATACTTTCAGCTAGGTGGGAACCCTGAGGCTTGTGGAGTTGGAGTGGAGGGGAGTGTGGAGCCTAGGATCACAACAAGGATCTGCCTCGCTTTCACAGACCCCAGAAATCCAAGTTTCATGGCATCTTGTGGTTCAATAAAAATAGATTGCAATTCCCTGAGGAAAGAGTTCCAAACTCTCCTGGGGGTCAGCTCGAACCTTCTCCGGCCCATATGTTTAACAGGTGGGCACTGACTGTCACTTGGGTTTCTCTCCTTTTTCCTTTACCCCATAAGAAGGAGGGATTATGACCCTCCTAACAATGTGAACTAGTCTTAGGAATGCTGGGTCAAAATCAGCGGTATTCTAGAACAGTGGATCCCAGCGAGTGCCCTGTGTCCCTCAAGGCAAAGTTACTACAGAGGCCTTAGGACACAGAGGAAATCACACAGGCCTCATCAGAAAACAAGCCCCCTCCTTTTCCCTGAAATTGTATGTGTCACTCAGGTCAGGCTGACTGTTTCAGATGAGGAGATGATCATGGTCTTAGCATAGGAAAACAGCAGGGAAAGGGATATGGTTGCTTAAGTGACTGAGTCTCCACGAATGACAGCAGGTTTGCAAATGGGGGTCCTGAGGAAAACCGGAAGGGTATTGGGTGGTGACAAGGTTGGAAACCACAGGTCCAGGTAACAGAGGTCTTAGAACATGTCAGTGGCTCCATTGGCACTTGCCTGAGACAAAGGGTTCACGAAAAATGTCCCGGTCTCTGTTGGGGAGTTAGTGCTACGGAAGAATCCCCTCAGTCCTCACACCCACTCTCCATCCCCTGGGCGTTGGCTCTCTCAATGATCTGGGATAACTTACATATTAATCATAGCATCTCCTAGTGGGCATCTGACCTCCAGCCATTGTGCTCCCCAAATTCGACCTGTGAACTTCAGCAGAAAGGACATCTGCTGTAGGGGGGATACCTCCTTGGAGATTTTCCCTCATTAAACAAAAGAAAACCTCTTAAGTGGACATTTGGGTAAGATCCCACGCAGTTGCCTCAGCAAAATGTAATGTGCCTTTGAAATGTTCTATGTATGCTGCCTTCCTCCCTAGGAGTTCGTACAGATGCAGAAGAGTGGACGGAGAGTGGGAAAATTTACTTACTCAAAAGAAAAGTCATCAAGTCTAAAAAGAAACAGAAATACTATTTAACATAATAGGTACATACTAATTAAAGTAATGTTTAAGGACAATGTCAATGTTCCTAGCTGTTTGCAGAGATGACCTCCACTCATCCATTCCACACACATTAATTAAGCACCTGGTACTTGCTATCTTCCTCAAGAGAGGCCTTGGGAGAGCTCTCTTTGAAACCCCTGAGATTACATCCATAGACTCAGCCCTCCTGCTCGAAGGAGCAAAGGAACAGGGGGAAAGCAGTAAAAGGCAGAATTTGGCGTGAAGGCTGTTCTTTTTTCCTTAATGTGGAATAATCTGGGGACGGGAGGGGGATGTAGACACCTCAGCAGTGCCAGAGCCTCCCTCCTTGCTTGCAATCCAGGAGAATATAAAGCCCAAACCAACTGCACGGCACTAGAGTTGGACCTTTCCTTCCCGTCCCTTCTCCCGAGAGAAATGGGGGCTGGCCCTAAAATCTCCACACCCATCCACTGATGCCAAGTTTAGCAAGAGGAAAACGAGCCCAGAGGCCTTACTGGTAGTCAGTGGAGCTGCCTTTCCGCTTGCGGTTGCAATCCACACCACTGGTGCCAAGGGAGCTGGAGAGTAGGTCGGTGGGGCCTGGGGACATGAAGTCACTGATTGTCGAGGAAATGTCCATTCTCTGGTCCGCCATTGGGAGCTCTGGAATAGTTACAAGGGGGCATTGATGTCAAGTGGTGGAGGTCCTGGACGGCGGTGAGAGACACTGGGGCTGGTTTCTGGCACTAACATATCTAACCCAGTCAGCCCTGGACAGGCACATAGCAGAATGGAAAGATCATCTCATTTATTTTAAAAGTTTTGTAGGTAATTTAGGCTCATCTTCTCATTTTTCTGGTAAAGACAAAAGCCCAGACAAGCTGGGTGACTTCTCTAGGTCCTGAATTGGGCGGGCCATGGAAGAACTATACCGGAAACCAGGGACTAGGAGACAACCTGTGTCCTGTATATCCTCTGCCACTCCTATTTTATTTCCTTCTAATCAATAAATATATGATCAATATAACAAATGAACATGATACTTGTTATCTTTGTGTTTTTGTTACGACTTACAAAAAAACTGTAGGAAAGCAGAAAATACAAGAAAATTCTACTTGGGCGAGTCAATGTGGTTCTTCTCTATCCTCAGCACAGGCAAAGTCTGTTCTGTCTCCCCAATGTCCTTTTATATCCACCCTTCTCTTGCATAATAAAATATAGGTGTCATAAACAAATATGCAAAGTATTTTGAGAATTTGTATTTTATAAGTACATAGTAAGTTGGCCCACAAAAAAGGATGAGAAGTACCTTCTAAGGAACTCCAACTCCAGACCCAGTTGAAGAGGCTGGGCCCTGCAGGCAGTCAGGGCTCTCAGCTCCAGGGGATCTGACTGGAGCTGTCACTCCTTCCCTCTAGGCCCAAGTTCCCTCATCTGAAAAACAAGAAGATAAGTGTGAGTCTTGCCTTCCACTATCACTGTGATACAGGAGGGTTAGTCAACCTGTCCCTTCTGGTTGGGTTTGCCAACTTTTCACATTTATAAGCACTGCAGAGTGAACATCTCTGTGCATGTATCTCTGTGCATTTGAGCTATTATCTCTTGGAATAAATTTATAAAAGTGGGGCTGATGGGCCAAAAGGGTACCCACATTGTACATTGTAGAACCCACTGAAACCCTGAGTTCCTGGAAAGCTCAAATAATTTCTATCCCCCAAAAGCTCTTGCCATCTTGAAAGGGGGGAGGTCATTGTTTTTCTTGTCCTATGTTTATAGATATTTCTGTCTTCCCCTTTGTCTTCTCATGCTCCACTTCTCTACCATGATGGCCTTCCATCCCGTTTTCGCCTGTGCCCCTGGATATGACAAAAGAAAATGTACATCTCAGATACCTGCAGGGCTGCTGGCAGCCTTCACTCCCTGAGCGCTTATTCTCCCCTCTGCTATCAAAGACTTCATACTTTCTCTTTTCTTCAAACTTCTAACATCTCCCTGGTCCTCACTCTCAGCCCATAGCTTTGCTTTTTTATTTTATTTTATTTTTTTTATTTTGGCAGTGCTGGGACCAGGGCCTCATGCACACTGGCTAGCATTCCACCAGTGAACCACACCCTGAGTCCTGATAACTTTGCTTCTTATTTAACTGAGAAAAGATGCCAGGACCACATGCACCAGCCACCTAGATGCTGGTGTTGAGGATCCCTTTGCCCTGACTCCTGATCCAATTCTGCCTCTCTCACTTACCCAAGACCATCATTCCAGAACCCTGACCTGAGCCCAATCCAGCATCATCCACTTTCCCTACACTACTGGACTATTCCCATTTGGTTAAACATCCATGTTATATAACTCCTATCTTGGGAAAAACAAACTTTTGAACACTATCCTCCTTTAGCTATTATTCCATTTTCTATGTCTCCAGTTTTTTTGGTTTGACTCTCTATGACCTAACTCAGATCAGGCTGTTGTGCCTATCATCACATTCAAACAGCCCTATCTGGGTTCCCCAGTGCCTCCAGATAGCTAGATCCAATGGCCCTCCCTCCTTGACCCTCCAGCCGTGACCTGCAGAGCTGCTCTCTCCTCATCAGTCTCTTGACTTGGGAGATGCCACCTTCTCGTGATTCTCCTTCTACTTCGGTGTTCACTCCTTTTCATTATCTTTAGCTTTTTTTCTCAACTTCCTCACCTCTAAATGAGAGTCCCACAGGTTGTGGGTCTTCTCTGTCTGCATTCACTCTCTAGGGGCTCCACCTGCCTCATGTCATGGTTGCAACTATTTAGACATACTCTGATAACTCCAAAAATGTCTATCTGCAGCCTGGAGGTTGCCCAGAATTCAAGTTTGTTAACCAGCCATCCAGGTTTGATAACCAATCAATCTCCATTTGAATATGCAACAGAGACTGAGAACCGAAACATCCACCACCAAAACCCCAGTTCTTCCCACACCAAGCTTTCAGCCATTCCTGGGTCAGTATGTGGTACTTCCCACTGGTCATCAGGCCCCAAGTCTGGAGGCCTCCCTGACTCCTTTCTTCTACAGCCTACATCTAGTTCATCAGCACAACCTGTTGCTGAACCTTAGATTTCAGCTGCCTTCCCTTCTCCATTTCTGCTCAGTCACTTCATCAGTGAAGCCTGAATAGCCGTATAACATGAGCCCTGCCAACCTGCCCCTGCTGAAATCTATCCCCCACCCTAACCCAGCCCTCATCCAGACTTCACCTACAACAATTCCCTTCTTTCTTTCTTTACAGGCTGTCCTCTCCACTAGGCTGAAAGTGCCCAGAGAACACTTTGGCTTGATTTCTGGCTTTGCCTCTTTGGTGCTAGAACACCAAAGAGTTAGCACATAGCAGTGTCCCATCAGCCAATGGAATGTTAGGGTGTGCACGTTAGGAACACTAGTCCTTTGTTCATCATAGATGTTGCAAATACTTATTTTCCTTTTAACCATGTTTATGATATTTGTGTGTAGTGCTCAAAGTGACATGTTTTAAAAATGTTTTCTTACCTGAAATTAATACACATACTCTTTCTACTAATACTTTTATATAATTTTATTCCCTTTGTTGCAACATTGGAAATTGAACCCAGGGGCACTGTACCGCTGAACTTTGTCTCTAGCCATTTTTATTTTTTAAAAATAATTTTTTAGGGGGGCTGGGGATGTGGCTCAAGCAGTAGCATGCTCGCCTGGCATGCACGGGGTGCTGGGTTCGATCCTCAGCACCACATTAAAAAAATAAAATAAAATAAAGATGTTGTGTCCACCTAAAACTAAAAAAAAAAAAAAAAAATTAAAAAAATCTCTCTCTCTTTAAAAAAAATAATAATTTTTAAAAAATAATTTTTAAAAAATTATTTTTAGTTGTAGTTGGACATAATATCTTTATTATTCGAGGCAGGCGCTCTACCACTGAGCTACAGCCCCAGCCCCCTTTTTTATTTTGAGGCAGGGTCTTGCTAAATTGCTGAAGCTGGCCTTGAACTTGTGATCCTCCTTAGTCTCCCAAGTTGCTGGGATTACAGGTGTACTCCATCATACCAAGCTTTTAATTTTATTTTTTTTATCTACAAATTTAATCTGTTTGGAAATTATTTTGGTATACTAGTTAAAGTTAGGATTTCTTATTTCCCTTTGGGTATACTATTTATCAGACCATAGATCGTCTTACCAATAATTGAAAAATGCTACTTCTATTGATTTGTCATGTATTTCTAGACTTTCTCCTCTGTTCTCATGATTTAGTTCTTTCCATTTAGTAACACATTGTTAAGAGGGAGGCTTTAGAATACATTTTAATATCTAGTAGAATGCATCTTTTTCCTCTTTTTAACCTTAATTTTCAGAGATTTCTTGGCCTTTCTCTCTAATTCATCCCTCAGGAAGAACTTGATAACTACACTTAATACCACTGACCCTGTTGAGGGGCTGCCACTATTGTCATCGCTCTTGCTAACATTTACAGAAGCAGGGCTCAGAATGAGTACAGCACTCACCCGCCAGGCCTTGGGGACTTAAAGAGCCCTGGCTCCTAGGCCACATGCCAGACACAGGTGCCACTGGTGTCCTCCACCCCCTATTTTTGAACAGCCAAGCAAATGCGAGCTGGGGTTAGGGACTTACTTATTACCTGAAGTGACAGCTCTCAACCTCAGTGCCAGCCTGGGAGGAGCAAGGGGCTGCTGAACTTGTCGGTCACCTCAAAGCGATTTTCATGTTTTTGTAATTTCCTCTCAGGCAGTCAACTTCTTCCAAAAACCTACAGGGACAACCACAGGAAAAGAAAACCCAGACAGGTCACTTTGGAATAAATGAATTTGAAAATCAGCTCAGGGAGTCAGGAGAGTACTGCAGGACAGGCTCACTGTCCGTCTATCGCCACGCTCCAGATGCACTCGCTGGCCAGCTTCGTGGCCATCCTCAGCTCCCTGTTAAACCTAAGCTGCGAATACATGAAGGAACCTGGCAGGAGACATTTTCTGTGAAAAACAATGCCTTCCAAGTACTAAAAATGGATTCTTAGACATGTTCTTAAGGAAAGGAAGGTAATTGAGCTTTATTTTTCTCCTACTGAGTTAAGTAATAATAGCAAACACTAGAGTGTTCTTTTGCATAAAGTACCATCCTTATTGTCTTATGTGGATTAATGCATTTAAACCTGAAAATCACCAAGGAGGTACATACTATGGTTTTCTCCATTTTACAAAGAGATTGAGGCACAGAGAGATAAAGAAATTAGTCAAGGTCACACAGCTAGAGAATGGTTGGCTTCCAGGAGCTATATTCACTGGTAAAGACATTGTTCAGCATTTGCATTAGAGAAGGTAGTCACCTGAACCCAAGACCAGGAACAATGGAAGAAAAAAGAAAATGTTTTAAAGAAAACATTAAGCCACAAAAAATGCCGGCAAGGCCATCTGAAACTAATAACAGGAAGCCAGCTGATACATTTAAGAAAACGTCCATGAACCCCAAGCCTGTCTGGGCACAGCACACATGAAGCTAAGACAGAAAGAAATTCTGCAAAGGGCTCAGATCAGCCAAGTGTCAGTGGTGCCCTCCATCCCTCCCTTGCAGAACAAGGGGCCCTCACTGCCCTCTGACCTACATGGCAGATTCCTGCATCTGGAAAGAACTGATCTAAAAGGAAGAAAGGGCCTCCCAGTCCTCCTGATCCATGCCTGCTCTGCCTGAGAAAAGCAAGATTTAGACTTTAAATGGGGCTTTCCTGACCTTCTGAAGCAGAAATTTTGGCATTTCACATTCTGCCAGCTAATTCTTACAGTCTTCGGAGCATGACCTCTGTCTTGATCATTACTGGATCTTCAAGTGGACTAGAACTAGGAAGAGATCTGCTGCTGCCCTCCTGATTTAGTTCTCTTTGCAATCTGATTCAGAGTCTTTCAGTCCAACTCTGTTGACTCCAGTCTAGACATGTGCAAATAACACAACATGAAACCGTGGAGCCTCAGTTGGTAAAGAAGTGGCAAACAGATAAAAAGTCCCCAGACTTCATGTGTGCAATTCCACCCTCTCCGAGAGGCATGCCATTCCCAGCCCCCAAATCAGCTACTCAGCACCTCTCTGGGCATCCTCCTTCTCCCTCCCACACCCAGAACTCCACAGCCCTCTGAGGGATGGTCCAGCCACCTCCCTCTCTCCTGTCACTGCCTCTGTTGGCTGCCCCCTCTCTAGTACCAACTCTGCCCACTGTGTTCAGAGACAGGAACCCTCCCCCTTACTTAGAACATTTTGGTGGCCTCGCTGCTCCTTCTCAGGTCTTCCAGATAATTCCCAAACTCCCCAGCAGGAACCCTTAGGCCTTGCTCAATCTGTAGCCCACCTCCCCTTGCTGCCCCAGCCCAGCCATACTAACACTGAGAGGGTCGTAGGGGTACTGGCTTCCCTCTCTGTAGGCTGCACCTGTTTGTGGGTGTGGCTCCCTTTAGCTCCCGTCGCTGGGGAACTGCTTTCCTTTCACTTCTCTCCCTGCAGAGGGTTCTGATCCTCGTGTAGCAGGGTCCTAGTTATAAAAGCCTCCCCTCCAAGTTCCCAGCCTCACTCCAGGGGCAGTCACTGAACATGCCCATACCTCATCCCCTTGCCCATTTTCCTGAAACTCAGATGAAGGTTCTACTAAGTCTCCAGCACCAAACTCCACAGGAAATGTCTTACATTGATTAATTTTTTCAATACTCAAATTTACTTTATTGAAATTATAAGAATAAATGCCAACACAGGTTTTGGCACTATCTGTATAAAATAAAAGTCAAGAAGGACATTCTTAGGATCTTAATCAAGGTGAGGAAGCTGAACCTGCTGTGATACTTGACATTCACTTTAGAAAATTCTTTCCCTTCAAGAAGGTGTTCTTAGATGTAAGAACAATAATTAAAACAAAACAAGCTGAGTATGGTGGCACACGCCTATAATCTCAGCTAATTGGGAGGCTGAGGCAGTAGGATTGTAAATTAGAGGCAGCAACTTAGTGAGATCCTGTCTCAAAATAAAACTTTTTGAAATGTCTGGGGATGTAGCTCAGAGTCAAAGTACTTCCCTAGCACAGGAGGCTCTGGGTTCAATCCCCAGCGCTGCAAACAAAACAAACAAAAGACCCCCAGCTACACTTTCAAAAGGGATTTGCGTCAAGGAGGGGGCTCCAGAAGCATTAGGCGCCTGCGAGAGGGAACCTTGCCGGAAGTGCGTTCAGAGGGCCACCATGGTGCAGCAATGCAAGTGGCACAAGTGGGGACACTCTCAGGAGAGCCTGCCTGTGGTCAGGAGGCACATGCATGCCCACTTCTGAGTCAGAGCTTCCCAAAGGTGTTGGGAGGGCAGGTGGTGAGGCCTGCTGGACAGACAGAAAGCAGGGCACAGAGGGCCTTGTGCAGTGTGCCTGGGAAGAACGCAGGGGCCGGGGGCAGCCTCTCTCACCTCAGCCCCTACTCCTCTGAGCACAGGGAAGGGATTTCATGGATCTACCCTAAAGAGCAGGCAGCCAGAGGAGGAGTTATAGCCTGTCTGCTCCTGCAGAGATGTCACAGCTGCTGAGAAGCTCAAGGCAAGGGCGTCACCCACTAGTAGGTACCAAAAGAAGACTCAGCTATTCCCCTGAGCAGGGGAGGGCAAGGCTGCCGTCCCTTCTGAAACCTACCCCACCATGTGTATAGGAAGCCCACCACATCCAAGACCTTCAGTCCAGAGCAGACACCTGTCTCTTTTCCTAGGTTCCTGGTCCAGCACCTCATAGGCTGAAGGAAGAGAAAGGGGACCTGGGTCAACTGCCTTCACATTCATGTGATTAGCTGCTCCATCTTGTGGGAAGATTCTGTGCTGCACCCTGGTGGTGGGGGGGGGGGCGGGCCTGGCCTTGCCATCTGTTCTGATCAATGATTAAAAGCAGAAGTGACAGCCTCATGAGACTGGCAGTTTCCTAGGCAGAGCCTCCCTCCCCCGCCCCTACCCCGCAGTCAAGCTCTTGGGCAGACAGCAACCAAGATGTTGAGGTTGCCTATTATGAGAGTGTCTGCTACAGTTTGAATATGTTCCTCAAACTTCATGTGTTGGAAATTTAATCTCCAATGCAGCAGTAGGGGGAGGAGGGGGCTGGTGGTAGGTAACCAGGTCATGGGGGCTCTGCCCTCACAAGTGGGCTTGTTTTAAAACTCAGTTCAGCCCCCTCTTGCTCTCTTTTCCTTCTGCCTTCCACCATGGGATGACATAAAACAAAGGCCCTCACCTATGCCAGCACCTTGCTATCAGACTTCCCAGCTTCCAGAACAATGGAGAAACAAATTTCTTTTCTTTATAAATTACCCAGTCTGTGATATTTATCTATAGCATCACAAATGGATGAAGACAGTGATCAACTTGTCTGTTTGCTTCAGACCTTCCTATTTGAGCACTGAAAGTCTGCCCCAGGAAATCCTTCTGTCCCCCAAAACTGGAATAGTTGGTCACTTAGTTATAACCACTATACAATTCATTGGAAAGTAGCTGACACACATAGAAAGAAGGAAATAAAGACTAGGAGCCCAGGGCCAGATCAAGCCTGATTTGGGAGGAAAGTGTTATAGTTTGAATGTGAGGTATCCCCCAAAAGCTCATTGTGAGACAGTGCAAGAAGGTTTAGAGGAGATGAGAGCCTTAATCTAGTCAGTGAATTAACACCCTAATGGAGATTAATTGAGTGGTAACTGAAGGTAGGTTTGGCTGGAGGAGGTGGGTCTTGGGGGTGTGGTTTTGGGGAATATATTATGTATCTGGTGAGTAGAGTCTGTCTCTGTCTGCTTCCTGATCATCATGTGAGCTACTTTCCTCTGCCACACTCTTTGACCATGAGGTTTAGCTTCACCTTGACTCCTGAGGAATGGAGCCAGCTGTCCATGGACTGAGACCTCTGAAACCATGAGTTCCCCAATAAACTTTTCCTCTTAAAATTGTTCCTATCAGGTCTTTCAGTCACAGTGGCAAAAAAGCTGACTGAAGCAAAGGGCTGTACCCAGGACAATCTGTATACTGTGTCCTTACTCCCACTTTCCAGATGAGGAAGCAAGGACTGGAGAAGGAGTTATCTTGCTTAAAATGGCTCATGGGGATTGAAACCCTGGTGTGCTTGGCTTCACTGCTGACGCTCCTAACCACCATGCTGCTGCCAATCCTGTCTCCAAAGACCACCCCAAAAGTAAAATACAAACACAAAAACAAAACAAACACTAAAAACAAGCATTCCTGGGGAAGAAATGAGGGGAAATTGTAAGAAGAAGAAATTCAGGTTCAGGAAAACTGTAGGAACTGAGCACATAGATTTTCTCTCTGAGGTGGCTGGCAGCTGGGGCAAAGAGGGAAATAGTCAGCCCTCACTCAGCCCAGTTCCTCTCTTTTTAAAATGGGACCCCAACGGAAGCCCAACTCCTCTTCTCCTCCAGTGCCACCTGCAGTGTGAGTTAGATGGAGTTCTGCTAAGACACTGTGTGCAACCTCATGGTGTTACTAGGGTGACTGACAGCTTTCAGAGATGTGGTTTCCTAACAGGGCATGGCTTAGAGAAATGTGGTTAATAGTAAATCGACAGTATGACTATCCTGTCTGGTCTACTTCTCCACAAACCCCAGGCTGTCCAGGGGGCCATGTGTTGCCATCTCTGCATTCCCAAAGCTTTCAAGGAGCTGGCCCTGGGTGCGGGACATGCTCTGGAAGTACTGCTTTCCTTTCCTTGACCAGAGAGCCAGCGGAGGCCTTGGTCACATTTTCCCTAGC